AGTCTTGCATACCTAGAGAAAGAACATTTTCTTTTTCGGGTTATCCCAAGGAACAAACTGTGAGGTTGCATGAAGATAAAAAAACCTAAATGCATTCTGTTTTGCTTAAAGCACATAATTTTTTTTTTTAATCACATATGTGTTTCAATATTATTACAAGGGGATTTACATTAAGTAATACCTATTCACTTTGCCACAAAAAGGAAACGTGATTTCATCAGGGAACACAAGTATGCCCCAGTAGTTTTTAGTGCCTGTGCTATGTCAAATTGTAAGACTTGAACTACAAAAGCTTGTGCAACACACATCATAATTTTGCATGTGGTATTTTTCCTTCTCTGTTGGCAGGATAGCATGGATTTGCAAGGGCTTCATGGCTAAATTTCAAGAAAGTTTTCCTTCATTTCATTTACTTATGCTTGGTTGTAAACAACCCATCTGTTTCATCACTTTGCAATAGAGTATTTGTGTGTTTTAGCCCACAGTAAATTTTTCTTTTGCTGAAGCCACCATTTTGAATGTAATATCCTGTAGTGGAGATGTTTATTTAAATGATTGTTAGAGAATTAACCTTTCATTTCATACCTGTATCTAGCTGTCATACTCCTGGAAAATTTTACAAGTTATGGATATTTTTCAATGTATTTTTGAAGATTTAATATAAAATATTGTACGTTGGATGCTGATGTTGCTAACATTATTCTGGAATTCGCTCTGTTTCAAAGCCTACAGAGAAATTGACTTTCTGCTGTAATGTTAATGAATGACCCCCAAGAAACTTTTAACCATGGCTTAAATAAGAAAAGTATGTTCTACATTCAGAAAATGAAGAATTCTGATGTTTGTATGTAATAAATTCATTTTCATCTTGTTTTCAAGTATTATGTAATGTTCAAAAATTATGTTATATTTTTCATTATAAACCTATTTAATGGTTGATCAGCTAAGATTTGATAGCAGTGCCATCATATCTTCTTATTAGTTCTGATAAATATGTCTCTCATTCTCTGCAAGGAGTCCTACATTAACCCCCGACAGCAGGACAGGCTGCATACATTTGTGTCATTTGAAGTGAAAGTTTTGAGGCAAAAGTAGATGTACACTTCAGTGATCTCGAGAATAGCATTTTGAAGTAACAAGTGTTTGAAATAAATCTGTAGGCATAATAGTAACTTAAGAAAAGAAAAGAGCTAAGACTTTGAAACTGAAAGTTGATGGATCTCAATTCCAACAATATCAAGCAGTGGATGGTAGTAAAATATTTTCTTGGGTTACTAAGCTTTCATGAAGGTCTGATCAAGTGTACTTACAAACTGGCTATAAATTAGATTAGTCAACACATTGAAGAAGTGTAGTGTCAGCAACTGGTGCTGCTACAATGGGGGGCAGAATTAAGGGACGAAAAGTTTTAGATGTATCAGCTTGTAAAATGCTTATCATCAATCCTAAATTAGTGTGTTTGTGGTAAGTTAGAAAGAAACAAATTCATCAATTTGTATGAAGGGAAATATCATAAGGTAAAATGATTTCACCAGTATTAGTATTCCATATTTTGATAGAAGCTTTGTGGAAGATAGAAGTTTATGTTCTACTGGTTCAGTTACAGCCGAAAACATCGCGGCAAAAACATCGCAGACGAAAACGTCGCGGAGAAAACAACGCAAGGCGAAAACGTCGTGCTACAAAACATCGTGGGAGAAAACATCGCAAAGAGAAAACATCGCAGTTCTAAAACATCGTGGTACAAAACATCGTCGTCGAAAATAAAGCGCTTCAAAAACTTCGCAGTTTAAAAACATCGTCGTCGAAAATATCGTGGTAAAAAATAAAGTATCTACAAATTATCGCATGACGATAACATCGCAAACATGCTTTTTTCAGGCTTTAATAACTATACATGGATATTCTCGTAATGATTTGTGAGCACAAGATGGAAAGAAGGATAATTTTTACTTTCATATTTTTTATTAATCAATAAATACAAATAATCAATAATACATAGTTAACTAACAAAGGCCATTAATAAATCCTTTTTTGTAAAGTTTTCACTGGTAATTTTTCATGAAAAGTATAATCTATAAGTTGCATTTAGTTTTCTATGCTTAAGTTTCCTTCTTACTTTTTCAGCAAAAATTTATTTAGTTATAAAAAAAAATGTGAAAAGTAAAAAATTATCCTTCTTTACATCTTGCGCTCACAAATCATTATGGGAATATCCATTTACAATTATTAAAACCTGAAAAAAGCATATCTGCGATGTTATCGTCACGCGATGATTTGTAGATACTTTATTTTTTACCACGATATTTTCGACGACGATGTTTTTAAACTGCGAAGTTTTTGAACCGCTTTATTTTCGACGACGATATTCTGTACCTCGATGTTTTAGAACTGCGATGTTTTCTCCCACGATGTTTTGTAGCACGACGTTTTCGCATTGCGTTGTTTTCTCCGCGATGTTATCGGCGGACACCACTGGTTCCTCCATTGCTTGATGCAGTATTATTTAAACGAATATTTGATGATTTAGACAAAAGAACTTTGACCAGAACTGAAATAATTGTCAAACCAGTGGAGAAGTTAATTTTTCTCATGACCGCCAAAATTCCAACATGATCAACCATTTATGAATAAAATGATGATCAATGCCCAGAATTATCAAGGAGTTATCGTGAAAGATAGAATTCCATGTGGGAAAAGTGGAACTCCAACATATTTCTACAAGTGGCTGAAAAAAATTGTGGGGAAAATTATATAAAAATTACCTGACTTGTATAGGACTGGGGAATAAATTTTGAAGACCGCCTGCACATGAAAAAGTTTTGACTGTTCTCCTAGCCAAGTATGAGCAGGAAGGTTTACCTCACCAACTGTAAATTATCCAAAATTTGTAATTCTTCCCCAAACTGAAAGAGGCCATTCAGGGGAGAGCGATTTTCTTCTTTTAAAGTGATTTCTTTAGCAGTTACTCAAACCATTCAAGGACTTAGTAAAAGTAGTATATTCTGTGAAGTGTTGACTATAGGTCACAGCTGTTGTCAAGCAAGGGAATTACACAGCAAAATGTGAACAGAAACTTCCAGAAATAAAATTAATCTGAAAGGGAAAAAAATTACTTTCAAATTTATATATTTTGTACTGTCCCATTTTAAATTACTTTCAAATTTGTATGTTTTGTACTGTCCCATTTTAAATTACTTTCAAATTTGTATGTTTTGTACTGTCCCATGGCCATTGTCTGCCCTAAAAGGAAAATTGCCATAATATTAATTGGCAGAAATGTAATTATTTGTAGTTTTATTTGTTATTCTGACAGTAGATGAGCACCCCACAGTTTAAAATCAATTAAATTATTACATACATGAGATATTCTAAAATATTAAATTAGTGATATTAATCACTAATTTAATAAAGAAATGCATAACTGCATTATATCTATTATAAACGCAATTATGTTTTAGAAATTAAACTACTGTTTGTTTCAACAAAATTGCATGTAAAAGGCAAGTGGGCTGCAAATAGCTCTGGCACATTAACTGCGGCTCAACTAACAAGCCACAGTTAATGTGCCAGAGAGCCGCAGTTTGGCTATGTCTGTTATATGGCATGAAATTAATTATTATTTTGATGTGAAATGATTTACAGGATTAGTAACACAGAATGACTGATATAGTGAAAACAATTTTATGAACAAATAAAATCTAGCCCTATCTTGTGAAATACTCTTTTTTAATTAAAAAAACTTCTAGTCATTCTGGACATGTCTTCTTTAGGTAATGCTTTAATTACTTAATGGGTTGCAGTGGCCAAGCTCACAATCTGTTCATTATCTCATAAATTAATGCATTTACTCTTAAAAATTTCAGGAAGTTACTATGCATCACTTGGATAATGCCTCAATTTCCTAACTGATTGTGCTAGTCTTAACTCATAACACATGCATTACTTCTTAAAATAATGCATTTGCTTTTAAACTTTTAATTATGTTAAAGTTATTATGGATATTTTTACATTATTTCTCAAAATAATACATCAAAGTGAATGTTGGAAAAATATTAATGACCTTGTATGGCTTTTTCAGGATTTAAGGAATAACTATTTGTGTAGTACCATTATTACTTGGATGTAAAAAATGTTTGCTAATTTGAATGATAATATTCAACTTTTTTCTTTTATTAAACACAGTAAATTATTTGAGCATGTTCATTGTCTACTAAAATCATTCAGAAAATTCAGTGGGTGAATTGTGTTTTGTTGAAGCATTTCACATTTATCAAAATATGTTAGTTGTTGATTATAATTTGTTCTGATTATTTCAGGTTGTTTTAAAATGTTACCTAATTATTATTTTTTTTATATTATGCTATAAGTGTCATGAATTATCTGTTATATTATTTATATAACAGAACTAAAGAAATGTGTGTATATAGAATAAGTTATTTTTGAAGAATGAAAATATGTGATTTGTTTTTTAAACTGTATTTAATATTTTGTTTATAATGAATGTTAAATAAAGATTGGCTCTGCATTTTTATATATAAAATTTTAGCTGAAATAATGAAAACAGTTATTCAGTTGAAAATTTGTAGATGCAAATGTGAGGAGTAAAATTAAATCTTAAACATTTTCTGATTTCTAATTCTAATAGATTTTTTATTTTATGATTCGGTAATGAGTGTGTGCATTAAGTCAAAATGCAGCCTGATTCTTGTTAACTGAACGACTTAATATCAAAGAATTCTAATTGAAAATATCTGAGCTATTTGTTCTTTTTAAATAGGAAAATATTTCCTGCATTTGATGTTAAATTCATGCGAACATTTTTCATTTGAAGATAAATTGCATTGAAAATTAGTGGAGAAACTGTGTTCTAAAATTCTCTTAAAATAAAGTATTGGGAATTTTAAAAAAATATTCTAAACAGTATTTAGCACTTGTTAAACAAATGAGCAGTTTTGTTTTAAAAAACATGTGTGTATTATCTATTTGTTATTTTGCAGGAGTATACATCTGACTCACAAAATGTTTCCAAAAAAGAAAAGAAAGGTACTATCAATAGTGATACTGGAATTAAGTTACGTCCAGATAAGAACAAAAATTCTTCAAATAGGAATTCAGCCATTAATTTGTAAGTATTTAAAATATTAAATGATTCGTTTTTATTTGAAATCATATCCACAAAACAAAATAGAAAATTTAAAAAAAAAAAAAATTCCATTCAAATAACTGTAGTTAGTGTAAATTTGAAATTCTAGCTTCAAGAAAATAAGTTGATTGTTTCTTTTCTAGTCTTTAAGTTGTATTTCATACTTTTTTAATGCTGGAAAAGTTGTATGAAGATTATAAATTGTTTTTACATTTATGCAAATTAAACAAAGCATAAACACAGCAATAAAAATTAAATTATAGAATGTAATTTGGTTGTAAACCTTGCTTAATCATTGTGTCTTATATAAATATCAAAATATTCAGGCCTCTTTTGGGGGGGGGAAATCATTTAAAAAACCATTTCGTATCTATTTAAGCAGATTATTGTTTTTTTTGTTCCTCAACTATGCAAAATTGCATTTGGACTAAGACAAGTTCATAGTTTGAAAAGAGATAATAGAGATTTCCTCATGCAGTCCATTCTTTACAGCTATTTTTTTGAAATTAGAATAGTTTGTAATTATAAACACATAAAAAAATAAGCTCAGGTTTCTAAAACTTCTAAAAAACCACTTAGGCAATTTTGGCGTTAGCTGAAGATCAAAGTATATATTCGATTTTTTTTAACAGCATTGGTTTAAAATGTGTTTAAAAAAGTTAACAAACTTTTATCATTATTTTTTAATAATTTTTATCAACAATTCACTGAACAATGCAACAGTGCACTGAATGAAGAAAGCAATACAAAATGTACCATCATAGTAATATATCCAGTGGAATTTAAATTTTCTCACTTAAAAACAATTGCTTTGTGGCCTTTACATTTCAAAAGAAATATTAAATATGTCAAATTTGCAACAAAACTAGCAAGCCTGTGATCATATGACTTGGACAAATCAGTGGGTAGAAACTGTGTTTAGTAATGAAAATTTGAAACTGAATGTGTTGTGAGAAGCTTGATTGAATGCTTAAATAGGATAATTGGTCTCATTTTTATCACAGTCTGAAGTTACAACAAAATATGAAATCAAACTCATTTGGATGGAATCTCAGGGATGGTTTGAAAGTGCTTTCCTTCTAATGGGATCAAAATCAGAAATTAATACAGTCAAAAGTCGTTAATTCGGACACCCATAATCTGGAATGATCTATAATCCAGACCTCAAAGCTACAAACTTTCTGCGCATGTGTCGCATTGATGCATGTGTGTAAGACCTTTACGGCTGCGAATATGCGTGTGCGCATGCGCATAATACGTTTACGCATGTCTGTTTAATGTATAACGGACGGTATAAGCTAAGTTAAAATTATCTAATTCAGTTAATGTTGCAGATTGTGTTATTCCTTAATCTTCGAATTGGATCCGGCTTATTATTTTTTGCAGACTGTTAGAGCAATTTTATAAAAGTAAGCTTGAACTTTCGATTATATCAAATAGAATTTCCGATATATATTTACTAATATGTAAAGGATCTACAAAGTGAAAGTATGTTTCGAAGTCCATTTAACAAGAAGTGGAATTGCTGCAAAAAATGGATAAAGGTTTTGTTTCTCTAACCATTCCGAAATCTGGTTATCAATTTCATGCTGCTCTGCGGCGGAGGGGATGGGGGAAACGCCGCTGCGCGCAATGAATTGGAAGTTGATCTGTCAGCACTATCCTTATTTTCAGGGCAGATGTTTTTATTTTATTTGGTTTATAATTTCTTACTAAATGTGGTATTTCATCTGGATGTACTCCGTCTTTGAGATGATTTAAATCAAATTCCTCGTCATTATAATTTGCTTCCGATAGTGAAGAAAGTGATACAAAGGTTATTGAAAATGAAAAAATTTCGATTGACAAATTAGTCGGTATTCTCGACACAGCAATTATAGGACTTGAACAGCGGAACTTTGTAACTGAAGAAGAAATTATGCCTGTTTATAGAATTAAAGAGAAAGTATTATCACATAAAACTAAGCAACTTTGACAACTTACATTGAAAGAAATGTTTAATAAAGTAAACAAATAAATATTAAGTATTTTTTTTTTAATTTTGATACCCTTTAGATCATAATTGTTCTTTATTTCGTAAATTACGGTTTCATATTTTTAATTTTATAATTTCTGCATGCCATCTTACCAGATTTAAAGTGATGATCGATAATCCGGAATCGCCGAAGTCCCGACGAGTCCAGATTAACAACTTTTGACTGTAATTGATAAATGTTCAGAAGTGCTAGAACAACAGCCCTGGGAAGCACAACAAAATATACGCACTCATATGTACAGTGCTGGCCATTAAAATTGCAACACCATGAGCCAAATTCAACGACCAAATGACGCACAGCCTGGCAACTGTTGCCATTTGACATGGTATAAAATACACTGCTAGCCATTAAAATTGCAGCACAGGAAGGTCAGAACACAACATGTAACATGTAGTCTTGCACTATCTTGTTAAAATATAGTGTTTGGGGATCTCGAAGCTAGGGCACAACCACTGGACGTAAGATGTCAGAAATGTACCCATCTGCACTCAAATTACCATCGATCTAAACTGGAGATGTGCGTGTTGTGTACCCAATTCTTTGCCCAAACCATCACACCAGGTGCAGGGCCCCTCTGACGATATTGAATGCAAGCAGATGACATGCTGTCTCCTCGGATACTCCAGACATGTATATGGTCATCATAACACTCTACATATAACTGGGACTCGTCTGAAAAAGCAACATTGTGCCACTCCTTTACCCATCTTTGTCTTTTGGTGCACCAGAGTCGCTATTTCTCTATATGCTGTATTGTTAAGGGAAGCCAAAGTAATGATCTTCCTGCCTGATAGTCCACACTGCAAACGTCGGCGCACCATACAAACTGATAACCGGATGTGCTGCAAACCTGCTCATTTTCTGACTATTGGTCTGTCATTTAGTCATACGATTTTGTAGGGCTGACCTCATAATATGGCTGTCCTCTCTGGCATTATTTGTGCGAGGGCGTTGAAATCCTATATGCTGTTCAGTATAACCCTCAGTAATCTATTTATTCCATATTCACATGACAGTGGTTGGATGTCGACCAGTACAACCGGCAATATCATAGAGTGATAATCTACAGTTTCGATAGGCAATGATCCTGCCTCTATTAAATATCGAAACTTGCTGGTAAGCATTTCCTCTTCTTATTCAATGCATAGCATGATATTGTGAGCCAAACTCCAACCTTACAAAGCACTTTCTGAATGAGAAAAACCACTACACAACTTTTCTTTTAGGCAGTATTTCAGATGTCGTTTCTCCCTCCTGCTTCTTCTAAATGCGCTAAAGTACTAATCATTTGCATATCCCAACTTCTTCCTTTCGTATGATTTTGATGTCCGTGAGATCACTCCTTCTTCGTGTTGCAATTTTAATGGCCAGCAGTGTATATCTTAACAGAACAGTGCCATTTTATATTTTCTTTTGAACATTCGATTGATTTTCAACTCGCAATGTTTAAATGACAGTATGAACTATGTTGAAACTTAGATTTGAATTCTGTTCAAAGCTTTTGGATGTAATTTCTCAATTTGTGAGCTCTCAAAATAAGTAATACTTCTTTGTTAACCTTTTGAGATTGCGTACCTTTGTTTGTAAGATGTTCCATCAGGATGCATGGGAGTTGAAAGGTATTGTCCCACTTGATGGGGTTTTTTCGTTACTAAGCCTAACTTTGGGGGAGGGAGTTAAAGTCCTAATGTCATAATTTTTTATACCATTAGGTTATTACTTAAACTATCTTTTACATTAAAATTAGCCTGTAATGAACTTTTCCCATTACTTTACATGAAAATATATTAAAAAAAATACTTACTTTGAAAAATAATGTTTGGAAGCACTGTTCAAATTATTCTGAAGTTTCAATTGACAAAATACATTAATAAATTTTTTAATTAAAAAATACAAGAAGAAGTAACAAAATCTTTCACAGGAAGTGGAAGGCAGGCACTCAGCGAGCTCATTCTCTGACAAAGTATCCATATCAGAATCACTAGAAATATCGCTCACTAACTGTGTAGAAAATGAATCAGCACTCTTACCCATGTTACTTATTGGCTCATTTAGCATGCAAGCATATTCTTTCCTCATAAATAAAGCTTGCTCACCATCATAAACTGAAGTCAAGGCCTTTCTGAAATAAAAAGGAAAGTATGTGAAATTTATCTGAAAGCAGCATAAAGCATGACAGAAGATTCTCATAGTAACCTACATAGTAAAAAAAAAAAGATTTGAAGGGGTTTCAGAAATGTGAATGTTTATGTCATGTGGCAGGTTAAAGAGCTGAGCTCTGTTTGTTTACAGCACACTTTTTCTGTTCCCACACATTACCTGACACCATAGTTAGGCAGAACATGATCAAACTGAAGGTCAGGATCCTAACACTATGTTCATTTTGAAACTAAGGGACACAGGATGCACTCTAGTGATCTTAAAAATGGTTCAGCCTAAAATCCACAGAAGCTTCACCTGTTACCTAAGCTCATACTTCAGTGATGCATGGGTGGGATGCCCAGTTGTGAGAGACATTCATGGGGAATGCATATATGGGATGTCCATCCAGAAAAGGTTAAAAGACCTAAAAGTTGCTGTTTTAGGTTGTTGATACAAATTAGATGCTGTGTTATTAAGAATCTTATCCATTCTTTAATTAATAAAATTCTTCCAAATGTACTACTTGGGCTCAAATGAAATATTATAAGTGTCTTAATAAATGTGAAATGGTAAGTTTATCAGAAAAAATATCTATATTAAGGATTATTTAAAAGTGTAAGCTGAATCTGCATTTTCTTTTAAGGAATTTGCATGTTTGTATGTTGGTTCATACAAATTTTGTTATAGTAAAGAAAATACTATACTCTTGGTATGCTTGCATATGATTCACATTATAGTAATCAGAAAAAGTTGCATTTATTTGTTTAATATGTAATAATAAATGGTGTATTCAAAATATCTTGTTTTTGTGATAGCCAAAAACTTCCTAATAATCCCTTTGAAGTTGGTGAAAATGAAGCCTTTGAAGAAAAAGACACGTAATTAATATTGTTTCATAATCCTTCTGCTGCTTTCTAGACAAATTTATCAGTTTGCTTTGCTACATGCATGCTTTCTGCATGAACAGTGAACAGTTTTTTAAGCTGCCAGTGGACTGTTATGTTAAATTGATGACTATTTAATAAAAATTGAATATTTATAAATCAAGGAATAACATAATATAGGTTTACATTCAGCAAGCTGAACTTTAAATATTTTACATCTTTAAGAAAGAAAGGGTTTCTTTAAATAAAATTTTCTTATGTAAAAAACAAAATATTCATATATTTCAAAGGTAATTTTGTACAAAATACAGAATGTTCATATATTTATTATTTATACCATAGGTCGTAAGTTTTTATTTCAGTGGCAGAATTTTTATTACCCTAAAAAATTTCAATATTTGTTGTTTTTACAGTTATTTGTGTTTTACACCATTGATTTTAAAGAGCTTATACAACTGTGCTATAAAATTCAATACTTCCAGTGATTTTGTTGGAGTTAATTATAATTATAGGATCAGCAATTTTGTATCACTGTACAAATCGTGAAATTAAATTCTCTTAAAATTTGATTCAGTTTTAAATTTTCATCATTCATTAAGAAGAATTCATGTTCATGTGTTAATTTTCTGCTTTTAGTTTGCATGAAATATATGCTTATGAATAATTTCCAATTGCTCAAAAAATTTGGTTTAATAAAGCATATAATGTCAAAATTCTGTATGAGTTAATGCGTTTGTAATGATTATAGATTTGATATGATATAGTCAGTGTCCTTGAAACATGTCTTTTTCTTTGTATCTGATTAAGGATTTATTATCATTCCTCATTACAGCTTCTGAATTTATTTCCAGAACTGATGGATGCATTAATTTTTAATGAAATATGGTATAGATAAAGATTGACTTATAAATATGCTACATATGATATTAGTGGTATATGCACAGGCTTATCAGTACAGAAAAGTTCAAAATAAAGAGGCTAACAGGGAGTATGGTGTCTCTTAATAGTCATGCAGCTCTCACAGCCTGAACTGATATTGCAAATGAGAAAGTGAGTTACAATGCTCTTCGCAAGAGTGCCCTAGGAATGTTTATAGAGTTTAGGTTGGGAGATGTGGCTGCCCAGTCCATCCAGTTGATTCTTCACATTCCAGAAAATCATCCACCAAGTTAGCCATATGTGAATATACATATACAATAAAACATACACATATACAATAAAAATGAACTGAGGACAAACTGCACTCCTTTAAAGGAAAACATAATGTTTTAAAATTTCGTCAATATACCTTGCAGCAGTGTCTTTGTCAAAACCATGAAGATCTGTGCGCCCATTCAAAATGATGCCCACCTAGATCATCGAACCTTCAATGCCATACTGGTCCCTTTCTCAGATGTTGGAGGACAGGTATCTGGTGTCTGGTTCTCTACACACCATGGTTAGGCTGAATTCAGACTCATCTGTGAAGACATTTCCAATAATGCTTCATCAAAAGTACGTGAATTCATCCATTCACACGATGCTTACCTAGGACATCAAACTTCCACTGCAATAGTGGTCTCTCTCACACTGTTGGATATAAGGTAGCAAGTATCTGATTCTCTCCAGATGAATATACATCATGGTTAGGCTAAATTGAAACTCATCTGTGAAAAGAACAGTCTTCCACTGACTGTTCTTTTCACAGATGCTTGCTACGAAGTAGATGTTCTCTGCACCATACTGAATAGATTGCCTTATAAGCAGAAGAGAGTAATACATAAAACAGCCACTAACAGACCTTTCTCTCATGCAGTCTTGTGGAAAAAGTAAGCATTAAAATTCAGTTTCCTATGCCTATGTGAAAGTAACAAGAGAGGCTGAAAAACTATTGCTCTCTTTTACATCTCACTGAAATGAGAAAATATTAATCTTCATTTGCTATTGTAGCTCTTAGACGGCCTTTTCCAGGCGTTCTGCCTATGTATCCAGTATCCTTTTAAAGTGATTTCACGAATTACGTTAATATTGGGCATTACGTTTAAATCTCTAGCAGTCTGCACTTGAGAGTGCTGTGCTTCCAGATTCCCCAAAGTGCTCCACCTCATTCCATTTTCGAAATGTTGGCGATTACTTACGTTAACTGCCTGCTTTTGTATTTCATCCAAATATTGGGGGGGGGGACACCTAAGTCATCAGGGTTTGCTAGTTAATGAAGAATGGCATGGAAAATGCCTCATGTGCTTTTAGGAAACCTTTTTCTGAATGTACACTTGTATACTCAACCCAAAGATTAGATTTCTTGGGGGGGGGTGAGAGCAATATGTACCTTTCATTCAGTCCTAGTAAAGAAATGTGTAAATGAGTGTCTTGCTGTATTTTCAATAAAATTAGCATTTTATATCACTGTTACATATTGCGCCAAAATTGTAATTAAAGATATATGAGATCTTTGATAGCATGGTATAAGCATACTATGTCTGCAGAATGCAATGAATAAAGAAATGCATTATTCTTTTTTTGCTTTGTTTGAAAATGTTTTTAAAAAATTAAAATTGCATGCTTGTTATATTTGCTTTATAGTAGCTTTGTTTTTCTTTCTTTGTAGCAAAATAGCTTTTTAGCTTTCCTTTCAAATAATATAGTTTGAGTGTAATGTATATTTCCATTGGCAGTGCTAGCTAAATATTCTTAATTTGTGCATTCTGCTGCCATGTTCAAAAAGTACCAAGAATAATTTATTTAAAAAGTGCATGTGCAAGAGATTACTTGCAGAGTTTTTTCAGGCATTGTTATGTCTTTTGTTCACATATAACAACAATCATTATTTCATTTTTTATCAGTTGTAAATAAATTAATGAATAAGAAATTTTGTCTTGGCAGTTTCTAAAAATGATGAATGTGAATTATCAGAGAACATGCATTAAACTTTGTTTTTGCAATATAATCTCTTCTACAGAAATGTTTGAAATGTTGAAAAAGAAAATTCAAAATAGCTAATACAGTACAAGGTCTTTAATCCGGACTCGTCGGGACTTCGGCGATTTCAGATTAGGGGTTTTTCCGGATTATAGATCATCAATTTAAATCTGGTAAGATGGCATGCGGAAATTATAAAATTAAAAATAAATAGAAGCAATTATGATCTAATGAAATAAAGAGCAATTATGATCTAAAGGGTATCAAAATTTACTACTACTACTACTACTAAAAAAAAAAAAAAAGGGCTTTATATTTATTTGTTTACTTTATTAAACCATATTTCTTTCAATGTAAGTTGTTTTAAGTTGCTTCATTTTTTGTGCTAATACTTTCTCTTTAATTCTATAAATAGACATAATTTCTTGTTCAGTTACAAAGTTCCACTATTCAAGTTCTGTAATTGCTGTGCCGAGAATACCGCCTAACTTGTCAGTCAAAATTTTTTCGTTTTCACTAACCTCTCTGTCACTTTTTTCATGCCTTTATCCATTTCTTGCAGCAATTCCACTTTTTGTTTGATGGACATCGAAACATGCTTTTGCTTTGGAGATCCTTTGGCAGCTTCAGAATCGGAAATTATTTTTGACATAATCGAAAGTTCAAGCTTACTTTTTATAAAATTGCTCTAACAGTCTGCAAAAAATAATAAGCCAGATCCAATTAGAAGATTAAGAAACAATGCAATCTGCAACATTAACTGAAATAGATAATTATATAATTTTAGCTTGGCTTATACCATCCGTTATACATTAAACGCGCATGACTAAACGTATTATGTGTTTACGCATGTGCAGAAAGTTTTTAGCTTTGAGGTCCAGATTATAAATCATTCTGGATTATGGATGTCCGGATTAAAGACTTTGTACTGTATTGTCTGTGTTGTCTTTCCATTCTGTAATAGTGAGAGATAATAATTTTCTTATAGAGTTATGTAAAATAAAAATATTTCTGTGAAAATACTCTACCATTCAGTCTCATACTAGTAGTCCTGTGAAATAAAGTATTACATAGAAAATTCGGAATTTTTATATTTTGATATAAAATGCATGATTTGAATGTCAACCGTTTTTGTAATGTTCTCAATTTAAATGAAACATTATTTAAAATATTCCATTGGTACATAGCAGTAAAAAAGTGCATTGTATGAGATCAACTAGTAACTCAGAATGCACTATTAAATCTTTATTAGAAAATATAATGGGAAATAATAGATTTGCATCAGTTGTCTGATTGTTTAAACAAAATTAGGTTAACATTAAATACATAAATTAACTTTCTAAGAGTAGGGGCCAAACACATAATTGCTATGACAATGTTAATACAATATGTATTGCTATAAAGGTCATGGATTTGCTTATAAAATTAATATACTTTGCATTCTGCACAAAGATATCTCATAATCCAACAGAATAAGTAATAAAAATAACAAAAAATTTACTATGCCAAATAAGTTTTTCCCTTTTTTGTTAAGAGTTAAATAAAAATATTATACATCAGATACTTCCTGGTGCTGTTAATTATACTGTTTCAATATTGTTGAATGTAAAGACTCGGATGGGCAGGGGTGCATGGAGTATAAGTAAGTTTGCTCAATTTCATTAACTTGCTAAAAAAACTTAAATTCTTTAACAAAAGCACACTTGTGTATTTAACTAAATGTATAACTTTTGTGTATTTAACACAAAAGCAAACTTAATATTCTCATATGCTTTGTTTTGAGAACTTTGTTGAAATTTTGTATATGAAATTATGGATTTACAGTGAATATTTTAATGCATTACAGCATTTGAAGAAGCTGACAACTTGAAATAGGAGTTCATGCTGATACTTATTGTAAAAAATAATTTGTGTTTTACCACAGCTAATTTCTAATTTATTCTTTAATGTATGGCAGTAGTATGCTAGCTGTATCAGATTTTTTTAACATAAAAATATTTCATCCTGTTAATGTTTCAGAAAACAGATTTTGTAGATATATACTGCGCCGTTTCCCATCTCGTTCGATCACTGTGTTTAATTTTGATGGTTAAATTTTGTAAATATTTACTCAAGGCAAAATTTTCAAATGAATCTCAGAATGTTTTTAATTTGATTTTGAAATGAAGCTTAGTAAATTATATTTCCATGAATTAAAGTGCTAAAAATGTTTGGTGCTCGCTAAAATTGCTGTTGCTCATTAACTTATATATTGAACAATGAGTCAGAACTTCTTAAATTGGAATATGATGCTTACTTTTATGATTTTCAAATAGGTAAGTGTAAAAATGAAAGAATTTATGAAACATTTTCTTCCATGCTATACGCACTTCGATGCCTGTAATTAAACCGGGAGATAATGCTGGAATATAGGCTTTCAATTACTGAAGATGTTTCATCTGCTGCAAAACATAACATTTGTCTTATACAGAGAAAAATTTTTTAAAAAATTCTTATAACTGATGATTAATTGATTAATGCTATATTTAGAACTTATTATTTGCAATATATTCTATGTATAGGAAGAAAAAGCTATGGAAAATTACACGAGTATTCTAAACATTTGCATAATATGTCATTGTAGTACAAATTGTGCTCAAGATTTACATAATTGCTATGACATGTATTTACTACGTACGGTACCATTCCTGTCATAAGTAAGCTTTCAAGTGATTGCAGAGTGCATTAATATGAAATGGCAAATTATTTACTATATGTTGTTTATTTTTGATCAAAATATGCTAAGAATGTTTTTATGTACTTACTTCATTGATATATAGTTACCAAATGTAACCACACTATGAATGAAATTAGGTTTGAATGCTAAAAAAAAATGTAAATTGTCCATTATATGAAATGTCTAATTATGTGACATGGGCACATAATCTCTGTCAGCATCAGAATCCATTTGATGGCAGGGGAACAAACATATCAGGTTCTCAGATATTGTTATCATTGCTTTGAAATTAAAACTGGAATGGTGTGCTGGACAAAGTAGCATCATTGTTAGCTTAGAACTCATAAAGCATGAATTTATATTCTGCTCATGATTCTTTATTGGCTTGTTTAAAAGCATGATTATGGGACTAATAACTGCAATATATTTAATAAAGTAAAGAGATTCAATTTTGGGAATTTTAATTCTAAGATATTATACTGTATAAACATATAAATATTGCATTTAAGCATTAATCTGTCTAATGATTTTTCTATGTTAGTTACAGTAAAAAATATTGAATGCAATATAATAAGACAAAAATATTATACATTCTGCATTTATATTTTAATAATCTTATTTTTACAGTTACCTGAAAATACCTAAAACACAGCAAGAAAATTTATGTTGATAGTATTTATATTTCAATATAAACTAATGTACATATATAATACTTAAGGAATGGAAAAGAAGAGCAGAATCCTTTTGACGATGACCAAGAAGACTGGGATGAAGGGTCCAATGATGCGTTAGTAGATAATGGTGAACCTGGAGTACCTGTAAGAGCTCTTTATGATTATGAAGGTGCCGAAGCTGATGAATTATCATTTAAAAATGGTAATAACTGTTTTCGTTTTTGCTCTTTCATTTATGTTGTTAATAAATGAATCTACAAGGGACATGTATATTTGTAATTATTCATAAACCTTGAGGAACACAAAAATTTTTTTAATTTGTAGTACTAAACATATTTTAAACAGTACATAGTATAAGAGCTATTCCCATACTATGTATTGTTTATAGAGAAATCTTTTTCTTCTAATTTTAATTTTTTTCATAAAACTTTTATCTTTATTAAGAATTATACCACTGCTAATAACAAAAATTTTTATTAACTTGAAGAGAAGTAATTTTCTATTAATTAAGGTTTTTAATATTTCCTGAATCTATTTTGTACTGGAAATTCTGAGGAATAAAATTTAGATACTTCAGATATTGTTTTATGGAGCAGTGGTTTTTGTTAATAATTCAGATTTAAACTTCTAGAAGTATAATCAGTCATTTGAATTTAAAATATGGTACAATGATACTTCTGGACATTAAAATAAATTAATACTTTTGTTTCTTGTATGATGAAATGTGTAAAAAAAAAGCCTATATCTTTCTTCAATAATGAAGTCCATGTAAATTGGGCTTTTATCTTAAATATCTTTTATCTTGTATTTGTCTTTATTTACAGGGGAAGTATTTGAAAAGTTAGAGGATGAAGATGAACAAGGTTGGTGTAAAGGGCGAAAAGATGGAAGAGTAGGACTCTATCCTGCTAGTTATGTAGAATTAGTGGCAAATTGAAGGACTAAAGTCATCATCAAAGAATGATCCCCATGGGATTTCGACTGTGTAATTTGCTGTACAAAGCACAATGAAATTTTGTTCTGCATAACTTGCCAGTTACAAACAGAAAAAAAAAAAAAAAAAAAAATATTGTGCAATCTTGAAGTCATTCAACACTTCATGTTTGTTCTGTGAAAACTTAGTATAAAATATTTTTTTTTTTTTTTTTACATACAGAAAACTAATGTTTTATTTCTGACATACATGTTTAAATTTGCTAAACAGGTTATAATAAAGCTAGCTACCTTAATATGGAATATACTAGCTATGGAGTACCAGTTTCAAAATTATACATTAAAAATTACAAAAACTGATAAGAAATTGTGTATCTATAATGATAAAAACTATCAAAAATATAATTAATTTTTTACAACTAAAAAGTCAGTTTGAAAGCAAATTGTGCATGTTCAAGATATTTTTATAACAAAAATTTGGAATCCATATAATTTTTTCCAATGCTTTGTTGAATAGGTAAATTTTTTACATACTTCAAATGATTTCACATAATTTTCAAAATCGAAATATAAAAGAATGTAAAAAAAAAAAAGAATCATCATTTCAATATTATTCATTTTCAGGATATGTAACCAAAATATTAAGCAAATAATATTAATTTAGAAGTTTGGATTTCTAAAATGGCCTGGTTGGTAGTAATTTAATCGTATGTCCAAACAAAGCAACAAGATAAATGTTATGTGTTACAGTTGTAGAAACAATGTTCGTAATATTTGTACATAATTTCACTGCTCAGATTGTTTTTGTTTTTATGTAGAATGAAAGCTTGTTTATACACTTATGAAAGTTGCAAAAATCAGTGTTTATGGTTTGAATTTTATTTTTTATTTTTCTGTGCATATTTATATTGTTCTAAATTTATATTTATAAATCCCTTATTCTATCACAAGTGATTGCAAAAAATAAATAAAAAAAATACAGTCATGCATGCATTTTATTTTTTAAAATATTCTTATATGAATCATTCTACAGTGATAGCATTCTTAATTTAGAAATCTCATAGTGTAAGTAGTTTTATGTAAACCAGAGCAAGAAAGTATTTGGGGCCAGTTGAAGTTATGCCTGCTATGCAAAATATTGCAGTGTTCGTGTAGATAAGAACAGCAAATTGTAGAGGAAATGGTTGAATCAGTAGCAGTTACCTATAATTATTTTTCATACTATGTAAATAAGAGATTAATATAATCATGCTGCGTTAGCCTAAGACAATCTATAAAAGAAAAAAAAAAAAATATTGGACAATTTAATTTTTTTTTTATTTTTGTAACCTACAAAGTACTTATGCAGTTTTCTATGTATATATAAAATTATAATTAAATGTATAATGCTTACTATCATTTGGCAAGGCTTGGAAGTATAGTACAGTACAAAATTGAATATTTTTACCTTAAAAAAAGTAGAACAGTTTCCATATCATTTATATGAGCAATAATTCTCTGCACTCATTGTTGATGTAGAATACCTTAAGAAACTTTTTTAATTAAACTGCTATAAAAATGAACATAAATATGATTTTATCCCATTTAAATTTAATACAGAATATACATTAACACAGGGGCACTCACTGGAGGGGTATTTAATTTTTCAGGAAGGAATGTAGTCAGCCTTTTCTTTACCATTTTATTTTTTTAACCTGTTAAATATTTAGTTTATGAATATAAAAATATATTTTTTCAAGTTATTGTATTTATCAACATTTTTTTATACTTTTCTTTGTTTAATTTATAAAACACATTAGAAATAATCTAAATATAAATAAATATATGTACAATTTATGAAATTTGGAACAAAGAGGAATGATCATTTAGGAATAGTGAAAGATGTGCTTGGGGCAAAAAATGTTGAGAACCACTTCATTAACAATTATGAAATATTCTGTTGTATGTATTGCAATTCATTTATTATATAAAGAAAAAATTTTGGTAATTTGTATAAAATTTTCAAGTGCAGATTTTAGTCTCATGTAATGGTTATGTTGAATTTTTATAATAAAACAACAAAAATGTTATTATATAAAATAATTATATTTTTGTGTTTAAAATTAATATTATGCACACATAATTTAATGAACATATATTGTAGAAAACAAAAAACATAATATGGTTTAAACATGTTTCGATAATAAGAATTATATCAGGTAAACTTTATAATTTCATTTTGGATGCCATTTCATTTTGGATTATTGATATGATAAATACAGTTAAAAAACTGTGTTGAAATCAGAGGCAGTAGAAAAATGAGTTTGATTAAAAAGTGTTAAAAAAATACTACTTCTGTACCATTCCAAAATATCCAATACTGTACTTCCAACCTTGATGGCTAAAATTTGGGGAATCCCTATTTAAATTATGTATTTAATCACTTCATAGTAAAAGACCATAAATGCAGGTGTGAAAAATGTCTTCCAGCACTTAGCATTGTCTTTTATTTTTCATAATTCAGTAAGCATGAATATTTGAAAATCATCTCATCATAATAATCTCTTAACAAATAGTTTTTTAATCTAATTATTAAACTGAAATGTACATTACTGAGAATATTGAGTGTTTGAAATTGGATCCCTTTGTATAAACATAATTGTACTTACAAGTAGATTTCATTGTGTTAGTCACTGTAACTAATATCCAGCTTTATCACTAGGTTTTCTTGTATATAATTTATCATTTAATTAAATGTATATTCCCATAATACGATTTGTGTCATTGTTGTTTTTTTCTTACAAACTAGAAATTTATTCAGACTGAAATCAAAATGTTTATGCTAATATTTTAGGATTAAATCTCGAACTGTTATAAATGTACAGGAAAACAATTTAAATAGATATTAAAAATATCAAACTTCTTTGCATATAAAATGCATGGCTGTAATGTTGTTAGGTCTGGATTTGAAACTGCATTTTATGCTGCTACAACATATGTGATAAAAAAAATATATATATATTAGGAAAACATGGTTATAGGTTTTTATTTCATAAATATTGCTTTTGAATATATAGTTATATCTAGTTTTTAGATGAAAAATTACTCAAAATAAAGTAAGGAATTTTAGTGCTGTTTTCATAAATTCATAGGAGAGTTTTGTAAATATAAAAATCTAACATTCTGTTTAGTGAAGTTTTAGTTACATATAGAAAAAAATATTCCAGTTATGATGTCATTCATAATGCTATTATGAGTTAAATGAAAAATGGTACAGATATTTAACAACAAATATACTGTAATGTCTATTCAGTGCCTATTATGACTAGGACTTTTTTTTTACGAAATTTAAAAAGAAATTGCAAAATAAAAATTGTTCATTTGGAAGCTGTGTATTGGATAAAAAAGCAATCAATATTAAATTGAGTTGAAGAAAATATTAATTACACATATTTCTTCAAATATCATATACTACAAGTTACAGAACTTTTGTATTTAAAACTCATTATAGGATATTTCTGCTATAGTGGGGCCGCATAAAAATTTAGATTTTATGTTTAAAGAACTTTCGCACCTATAATGTTGAAACAGTTTTATAAAAAAATTCTTTACCTTAATTTTGAAAAACTGTGATTAGACTGTACTAGTATTAAGACTTTTATGCCTGTAATTAATCATTATACAGGGTGTACTGTAAATGTTGCGACAAACTTCTAGGGGAGGTAGGGCACATCATAAGGATTAAGAATTGCCTAGGAACCTATACCCGGAATTGTCAGGGGTAAGTGGTAGCAGAGGTAGAAGATGGAAAAAGAAGCAAGAATGATTAATTAGAAATATTTATTTGAATGGTAACATTTATACAAATAGAAACATTTATACAAATGGTAATAGAAACATTTATACAAATGGTGTACGACAGCTTGAATGTTACAACAGATGCTCGAAGTTTACACCATCAGACGCCAAACATGCCTGACACTGACCAACCGTTTGAATGCCGTTTTGATCTTCTGGAGCATGTTCTTCCCGATTTACTTGACGATGCTCCACCAAATATGAGGCACAACATGATGGTGGGGCCTCTGCTCATTTTGGACTGGATGTCCGTAGCCATTTGAACAAATCAACCCCGCATCGATGGATTGGTCATGGTGGACCAGTTCCCTGGCCCCTCACGCTCACCAAATTTATCGAGCCTTGATTTCTTTTTGTGAGAAGCCATCGAAAGTATTGTGTATCACAACCCTGTTGTTTCTGAAATGGATCTCATGGCAAGACTTGCATGTGCAGCTGTTACAATCAAAGAAACTTCTGGTGTGTTTGAACATGTCCAGCAATAAATGGTCCATAGGTGTCAGGCATGTTTGGCGTCTGATGGTGCAAATTTCGAGCATCTGTTGCAACATTCAAGCTGCCGTACACTATTTGTATTCATGTCCAGTAAATGTTTCAAATTAATCACTCTTGTTTCTTTTCCCATCTTCTACCTCTGCTACCACTTACACCTGACATTTCCAGACATGGGTTGCAATTCTTAACCCTTATGATGTGCCCTACTTCCCCTAGAAGTTTGCTGCAACATTTACAGTACAGCCTGTATATGTGTAAATAATATATTATATGCCAAGAATACCAAAAATTAGCTATATATTATAATTTTTCAAATTATAAATATACTGTTCACTACTAAATTGGACACTAAGAAAGGAAAGCCATAAGGCTATGCGTAGGAAGGATTGTAGATGCAGTCGAGATATACAAGTGACCAAGTTTTTAAATGCCTAGCTCCAATCAGTGACATGTGACAGAGGCCTTTAGTTGGTTAAATCGAATATAATTTTGTTTAGGGAACTTGAAAATCAAATTAATCCAATAGTATGATAATTTATTAATATGTCATTTACTACTTATCACAAATAAATAGAGATGAAGTCTTTAAACTTAAATTATAGTTCCAACAGATTTTTATTAGTTTTTAGGTCGAGCTAGTAGTGTTCAATGTTGTTTATCTCAGTAATTGCAAGAACAATAAGAAACTTGGATGAGAGCAAATGAGTAAATTTGTACTTAGTCAATTCATCAGATTAGAAGAATGGTGCATCTTGATCCTTACTTTACTGCAAGTGAACTTGAATGTCATATAGTAAGCTTAGAAAGTCCAACAGTATCTACAGAAACCATCAGAAGAAGCTTGCAGAATATTGGGTTACAAGCTAAATGACAAGCAAACATAAGTTTCATTTACTCCAAGCCATTTCTTTCAAACCATATCATAGGATACATCAAAGTAATATGTAAGTTAGAATAGAAGACCAAGCCATTTCTCTCAAACCATATCATAGGATACATCAAAGTGATATGTAAGTTAGAATAAAAGACTATCTTTTAAAATAATTAGTCTTGAATCTGGTTCGGAAGCTTTAGTTGGAGCTTACTTTTACTCTGGGGATCATATTTGGCAGTTCCATTAACAAGCCTTTGTGAAAGAAAATCATAGAGTTTTGCCCCAGGACAGTGGGTGGGGTGGCATTATGTATGAATAAAATGTCTCTCTCTAGTCTTCTTGTCTACCAAATTTGACAGAACATCCCTTGTACATTGATTATAACTTCAATGATAGCATCCTCAGGCATGTGCTTGCGTATACGTTTTTTTTTTTTCCATATTTGACGGTCATATTTCTTACTGAATTAAATGAAATGATTCAAATATTTTGTTTTGAATTTTTTACCATTTGCATATAATATCCCCCTTAATATTGAAATGCCAATTTGAACAGTGTGTATTGTTTTATAATTTAAGATACATATTTAAACTAAATAATATAGGGTTTCTAGCTATTTGTATCATGAATTCCCTATGTGCTGTCATTATTTTTCCAAATGGCCAAGTACTTGCAGCTTAATGAATTTATTAATTGTGAACAGCCAATTCCTATTGGTCATTTGGCTGCGTGATCACTGAGAACATTGCCCATTTATGTGGCTGAATTATGACTAAACAGGAAAGCTGTATCCTAATACTGATAGAGAATACCCCAGATGATGGATTCAAAGATCCCATACCATCGGACTTCTAGAGCAAACTTCTAGCTTGCCTGTATTCTAAGTGTTAAGTGTCACTTTGCTGCACAGATACTGTACGCCTACAAACATCCGAGCTTTCTCCTGGATTCGAATCTGGGCCTAACAATATGTTAGCCAGCACTGCTAACCACTATACCGATCTAAGTGACAAATTTCTCATGATGAATTTGGTGTTTTTATTGTTGTAACGTGAAAAAAATGCTGGTAGGAGAAAATATATGTAGCATCATAAAGTTATTCTCTATTCCTTTTGCATTTCAATTCAATCAAGTAATTAATAAATAAATTGCATTAAACATGCTTTTGCCATTAATTCCTGTGATTTTGTTATGGGTTATAAGAACTATTGGTACTTGTTTTCAATATTCAACAAGTTTCAGTTCTAGAGAAAATTTTAAATTGTTTCTTTAAAATGCAGGTGAGGGCCGCCCCATGGGTACAAGGTGCCTCTCTGCAAGGTTGTGTTTCAGTGCCCTCAGTGTAAAATAATTTTGAAGTTAAAATCTAATTAATTTCAAGAAATTTATTCAACATATTAAATGTGAGTTGTATGTATGTGTACATAAAAATGAATCGTATAAAAAATTTCTTTTCTCTACTATCTCGAAAAAACTTTAAAATATTTTGCACTAATTTATGTGATATGCTTTTCATTAACTTTCATTTTTCTAGTTTTACCTGCTACAAATTTTTTTATCAGATCTTTTATATCTGAAGTATCCCTAATATTATTTTTGTTGATATTATTGACAAATCAGCAAGACGTTTTTCTGCTGATCTCAAGTAATTTTTCATTTATTTCAGCTTTGTAAAATTCCTTTCCGCAGGATTTGTTTATTCATTGGTAACATTAAATAAATATGCAGTTCTATGGAAGCATTTGGAAATTGTCTTTTAATTTATATCCATACAGAACCATAGATATTGATTTATATTCTTGAAATATTTCACATAAGAAATCAACATTTTATGAATTTTCTATTATGGTAAAGAACATACAGATTACTAATTCAGAAGTCAAACACAAAAGTCAGTATTATATTTTAAAATTTTCACAGGACTAGTTTCGATGGTTTTACCGAAGCACCATCGTCAGCTACAAAAGCACAAAATCTTAAATACAAATTATCTGCTTTTTATGACTGTATATAAGAATGGTGGCGAAGCTTTTAACATGAGAAGGAGCAATAATATAATTATTAATACAATAGGAATAAAATTCAGGAATATTCAAGAGCCACAACTAATTTTTCTAGCGGCCACAACATGATTTTAAAAGTAACAAAATAGGTTTTGAATAGTCTGTTGCTATCTTTCATCCGGTTACTGGCCATAATTGCTTTTTAAAACATCTGCGTCGAATGAACATTATCCTAACCCTTTGTAAACTGTGCAACTTTCATGAGGTGGCGGTGTATTTAATTATGGCAAAGCACACTAGGGCTATCTGCCTAAGGGGAGGGATGCCTTCGTGGAGGACTTTTTAAGGGAAACTGGCTCGTATACACCAACTTTCATGAGGAAAGGGATGCCTTCTGAGTTATTGCCCTTTAATTAATACTGGATCACTCTGGGAGAGATAATAAGAGGCAAGACACACCATACATTTATAGATTATACTTTGGACTCTTATCTTTCTTCAGGACTTAGAAGAGAAGGGCTATTTGATAGAGCTTTTACCCCTGA